TAGGACGTCCAGAGGGCACCGATTTCTGAGGAACACACGAACAGCAAATCTGGAACAGGGTCTCCGTAAAAAGAGCAGGAAACTCCTCAAAGGAGCATGAGTCACGAAGCTGAGACCAGTTAACTTCCTGTAACTCCTCCTTTAGTGCATCAAAATCCGCCTTAAAAAAGTCAAGAGACCTGAAGCTACTTTCGTCAAACTTAGGGATGGTAGCCTCCTTTCGGGATAGCGGATTGGTAGCGAGCATAACATCCACCAGATGATGGTCAGACAGTGAGGTAGCTTGTGCCTGAACATTAGTAACAAGTCTGCTGTTATTCGTGATGAACAAGTCTAGAACATTGTTACCTCTGGTTGGACAAAGGACGTATTGACTCAGCAGATGCTTGGCCATGAAGTTGAGAAGGGAGTGAGCTGATAGCTGAGTCTCACTGGAACCTCCTGACGACACGGATACAGTCTGCCAGTCTATTGAGGGTAAGTTGTAGTCACCTGTGAGCATAATATCGTAGCTTTCATCATTAACACGGTGAATACACGTGGAGATAAACTCCAAAAGTGAGCTGAAACTGCTGAGGGGGGCATTTGGGGGTCGATAAGCCACTACAACACATGTATTAATCGTGCTGAATCTGCAAAATAAACCCTCGCAGGTACCATCATCAAACGTATCACACTCACTTACAGGTATGTTGATGTGGGAATAGAGCAAAACTCCGCCTCCGACCCGCCCACTTCGGTCACATCGGGAGACTGTATACCCTGGAACATGTAGTTGGGCATCAGCCATATAGGGTTTGAGCCAAGTCTCAGTGAGCGCTACAAAAGGTAAGGAATGATTTCTCGCTCGTTCATCGTTAATGTAAGCGGAAATATCGGGCACCTTCCAACGGCTTGTACTTGAAGCGCTCGGATTCATGGACTGCACGTTTAAGACAAGGCATGAGGAATAGTGGGCACGTTCTGCATCATCTGGGCATGGGTAGGGAGCAGAGGTGTCGGATAGGGGTACTGGCGCTGTGGGTACGCCAATCCTGACTGAAGGTGTGGTGGGGGAAACTGGTATTGAGGGTTGGGGCGGAGACTGGCACGGATTTCCGAGATTTCCCGAGTGAAGCAGGTTTGCATCCTGTCCATCAGTCTCGCTAACTCTAAAAAAGAAGCCCCATAATCAGCAACTGAGATAGAATCCTTGGAATCCTGGGTAGCTGTAGGGGCGGGGGCAGCTTTATCACCTTTCTTGGGCCGAGGAGCATCACCATTCTCCTTTCTCCGGGTCCCTTTCAGGTGGATAAATGTGCACTCTGAGTTAGTACACAGCTTGTATTTGACAGAGAACTTACAGAGCACGGGATGAAAGAACTTGCAGCTGGAACCCTTATTGTAACCGAAGTTACGCTGAGTACCAAAGCGGCAGTACTTATCACAGTATCTAGGGTGTTCGAACTCACAGACACGTCCTTCATGTTCTTTCTTCCCCCTTAAACCATGCGGACATTTTCCTCGCTTATACTTCTCACACACCCGTTCTCTGACAACTTTATCCAGTTTTGAGTTGAGATCATTAAGATTTAACTTCTCCTGGTTCTCCTTGAAAGATTCCGATGTTTCGTTGTGAGGCAAGGAAACTTGCGAAGAAGATATAGTGTCAGCATTAAGTCTCGCAAGGATAGCGGGGTCCGTGATACTCACGCTATCATGGGGAGTTTTCCTCTTTCTAGACACAATAGGCACACTAGACTCGTTGCAAGATTTGCACAGCCAAACGTAGCTAGAAGGTAGGTCTATCGAAGCCTGAGTTAAAACATCATGTAAACCAGATACAACAGCACAATCGTGAGATCCCCGAAAACACATATGGCAGTGAAAAAGCGGTTTCTGTTCCGGCTCGAGATCTATCACGTATTTCTGGTTACACTCCGGGCATTGTGAGGGGAGCAAAGCGTTTAACCGGAACAGTATTCTACTGGCAAGTGTTTCCTTTGTGTAAATCTTATTACGATCACTGTCAGCTAAGTTAATACACACAAATTCAGCACAATGCTCCAACATTTCAAGATTAGACGACTTTAATGCTTTGAGATTTTTAGCTCGCTATTTTGAATGATCAAACTTCGAGATGACTTGTTTTACTATTTTGTTCGTTCCCGCACGGAGAAGCAAGTTCCCGATCGATAATTCATTCGATAACTCTATTTCAGATAATGTACAACCACTTGTGTATAGCCACACTCACAGTACAATGTATGCACAATGATAGCACAGTGCGATTATCAACAACTGATAAGAGAGCGACTAAATCAACGCAAAAGCAATTATGTAATATTGATCTTCGATTTTAGAATCCTAGGGCCGGGATGGGATAATATACAAATTGAACGTTTTTTCTTTTAAAATAAAAAAGACCTGAAACTCAGGAAAAATATGACTCCAGCCCCCTCCCATGAAACTTGCATTTATTTTTGCATCAACCTGAATTCACGAACTGTGCAACATAATACTTACTATACTATTTTATACTATTTTATACTATTTTATACTATTTTATACTATTTTATACTATTTTATACTATTTTATACTATTTTATACTATTTTATACTATTTTATACTATTTTATACTATTTTATACTATTTTATACTATTTTATACTATTTTATACTATTTTATACTATTTTATACTATTTTATACTATTTTATACTATTTTATACTATTTTATACTATTTTATACTATTTTATACTATTTTATACTATTTTATACTATTTTATACTATTTTATACTATTTTATACTATTTTATACTATTTTATACTATTTTATACTATTTTATACTATTTTATACTATTTTATACTATTTTATACTATTTTATACTATTTTATACTATTTTATACTATTTTATACTATTTTATACTATTTTATACTATTTTATACTATTTTATACTATTTTATACTATTTTATACTATTTTATACTATTTTATACTATTTTATACTATTTTATACTATTTTATACTATTTTATACTATTTTATACTATTTTATACTATTTTATACTATTTTATACTATTTTATACTATTTTATACTATTTTATACTATTTTATACTATTTTATACTATTTTATACTATTTTATACTATTTTATACTATTTTATACTATTTTATACTATTTTATACTATTTTATACTATTTTATACTATTTTATACTATTTTATACTATTTTATACTATTTTATACTATTTTATACTATTTTATACTATTTTATACTATTTTATACTATTTTATACTATTTTATACTATTTTATACTATTTTATACTATTTTATACTATTTTATACTATTTTATACTATTTTATACTATTTTATACTATTTTATACTATTTTATACTATTTTATACTATTTTATACTATTTTATACTATTTTATACTATTTTATACTATTTTATACTATTTTATACTATTTTATACTATTTTATACTATTTTATACTATTTTATACTATTTTATACTATTTTATACTATTTTATACTATTTTATACTATTTTACACTATTTTATACTATTTTATACTATTTTATACTATTTTATACTATTTTATACTATTTTATACTATTTTATACTATTTTATACTATTTTATACTATTTTATACTATTTTATACTATTTTATACTATTTTATACTATTTTATACTATTTTATACTATTTTATACTATTTTATACTATTTTATACTATTTTATACTATTTTATACTATTTTATACTATTTTATACTATTTTATACTATTTTATACTATTTTATACTATTTTATACTATTTTATACTATTTTATACTATTTTATACTATTTTATACTATTTTATATAACATCTTTGGTTTTATGTGTACGATTTATAACCAAAAGTCGTTCCACTCCACGAACGAAAGGCGACCATGAAGCCATAAGTGTACAATTTTAGTCATCCCGATTCCACTTTTTTTGTTTTTAATGTTTCGTTAAGATTATATATTTGTTTACAAAATACTATTAAGTCAAACATGTAATACGGATAAATACGACTTTAAGCATTGACTGTTTCTGAAATTTACTTTCTGAATCAATATTTAGTTAGTTTGAATCTACAAATAGATTAAATTGATTTTACCTTTCAACAAATATAACAAAAAATATTGCAAAAGCAAAAGTAATAATATTCTTTTTCGTACCGGTCACTTGTCACCTCGTTACCCTAGGTTACGAATTCACCGTCGCGTACGGTAATATAAATGTTCCTTGTTAACTGAAATACAAATCAACCCAACTCAACCATGCCCGAACGTTGAAATTGAAATGAAGTGTGCTCGCATATTTCTGCAGCATTATCCTATTATCGTATACCAGAAGTCATTTTGTCATCTATATTTTCTATATTTATATGGACACTATATATGATCGTTGATGCAGCTATTTTGGCCTGCATTTAACTGCTAGTTCGAGTTCCTTGGGCGAGAATCAATGTGAATTGGCTTTATCATTAAAAATAACTGAACAAAGGGGCCACTACCCTCTCCCCCTATTTTAATTTTACTACCACATGGGAGAGTAAAATCTCAAGTCACAAAAAGTGTAACTTAACACCATGTGGATTGTGGCCTTTCTTCATCCTCACCATCATCTCAATTTTTAATTTTCGTATTTCGATTGCTGTTGGGTAAATATATCGTTTTTTTGCTTATTTTCATTTTCTATTGTTTCATATCAAAATGGATACGTTTCTACTTCATGATCTTACTGCTTAGAATAATAAGACTCGTAACTTCTTTTTTTTTAACGCTAGCCATTACACCCGAAATCATTCTCTTATCAAAACCAGAATAAAACGTAGAGGTTCGTGTTTAATTGTCATGCTGTAATGTATGTACTGATGCGGCTTTAAAAATTGACTTATCGTTCTTTTATTTATATTTTTCCACTTCAAGCGCTAAGGAATAAAAAGACGTTGCAAGAACTGCGATAAACATTCTAGGAGCTGGCTATGCTACGAAACTTGCTTTTCAGTGTGTTAGTACTTCAGGCTCTTCACGACTTCAGAGGTTAGTCAAAGTGAAGCGAAAGCGAGCTAACGTTCATTTCTATAGTTTACGTATCCATTCGTTCCAGCAGCTCGAGAAATATCAAAGCAAGCAGGACCCTCGACTAAATCTGGACAGGCTTATTTTGTATCTACAACATGCGAAGACATTTATTTTAATCATTGCGACAATCCATCAATTAACGGTATATGTTCAATATGGAGCGCTAGTGCCCATTTTATTTCCGATCAGTGAACGTGATATAAAAGTTCAACTGTATCGTTCACTCTGAGGAGGATGAGATGGAGTCTACCCTTGGTTTTTACTGAATAGAAACAGAGTTTTCTAAAAGTAAATTAGTGTCACAAACCTTATAAACTCTCCAAGCACCAAGCTTTACTCTAAATGAAATCTCCGTCAGGACTCATAACTTTATAAGTTCCAAGATCTTCGTATTTTATCGCCTCAAAAAAAATCTTTATCAATTTCTTATCACAACTAACACATCGTATCCGCAGCGACGAGTTGTGATCCACTAACGGGAAATGTCGACAACATGGTTCCCGCCCAAGATACTTACGCTTTAAACGATCAAGCCACAGTAACGTGCCTAACGAACTATATAGTTTCCTGGGCAGCATCTGCAGCTGATAACAGTGCAGAGATAAAATGTGGAGCTGGTGATTCATGGGCTCCTGAGCCCTTGGTAGATAGTTTTAGTGATGCTGTTGAATGTGTTGGTGAGTGTTTTCTTACTTGTTTTAATAGTAATACATTATATGCAAGTGTTTTCTAGCTCAGTTTATTGATTAAGTGAGTGTTAGTTATTCATTTTATTGATTAGTGTTTGTTGCCAATTGAATAGTTTTTTTAGATAGGTGAGTGTTTAATTAGAGAGTTTAAACTTAGTTTTGATATTAATTTCGATCGTGAATTTTGCCAAATTTCTGTGACATTTGGTGTTTTTGTGCTGTGCTGATTGCTGAATTATGATGCCACTCGCTTGATAGAGTACTTTTTTTTGATCTTTTCTTACTGTGTTTTGGGTCAAGGTACTGAAGTCTATTTTTTCTTATATTTTATAGTAATCTGAATATTTTCTTCAGAATGTAATAGTGCTGTGTCCTGTACGGACGGAACGTGCAACGCTGGAGTGTGCGAATGTAATGACGGTTATGAGAAGTCTGATATTAGCGATCCAAGATTATGCACCCTTGTAATTCAGTGTCCTGCACTTACTCTCACCAATCAAGCTGCTGATGTCACTGGACCATATGACCCAACCACTACAGTCACTGTTACGTGTAGTGCAGGATATTTTGTCGAAGGAGCAGCTGACACTGATACAGTACAAACTGTAACATGTAACCAAGGGGGAGCTTTTGATGTAGACCTAGCGCCGTGTGTTGGTGAGTTAATTTTGAATGGTAAATACTTAAAGTGAATGCAAATCAGTTTATACCTTTGTATATACAATACCATGATGACTATTTCAATACAATCTGAATGTTATTTTCTTCTTCAGCATGTGCTGACGGCATATCAGACTGTACGGACGGAACATGCAACGCTGGAGTGTGCGAATGTAATGATGGTTATGAGAAGTCTGTTATTAGCGATCCAAGATTATGCACCCTAATTCAGTGTCCTGCACTGACTGGTCTCACCGACCAGACTGTTGATGCCACTGGACCGTACGATTATAACACTCAGGTAACTGTCACGTGTGCAGATGGATACTATGTCGGAGAAGTTGGTACTAAAGATCAAATATTAACTTGTGGTAGTTCGGGTGATTTGGAACCAGCCCTTGAGGCGTGTGTTGGTGAGTAAATATTAAAGATGATAAGAGTTAATTCATTTTTTCAAAACAGAGACACTGTACACAAAACTGTACATTCTGAAGTGGTGGTTTTATAGTCTTTGTAAATGTAAAGAGAACTGTTCACTGTTATTCACTGCGCTCGAGTGTCGCGCATTTATTTCCATTAATAAAATATTTATTAAAAGAAGATACTGCTTTGACGTGATGGGGCGTAAATTGTCAATTTTTTATAAATTTTTTCACAAATTGACAATTTCAATTGTTATGTGTTTTTTATTAGTGCTTTTAATAACTCTGGTTTTAAATCTGTCATATTTTCAGAGATTCCAGAGTGTGACGTATTAACCACTGATGTAAATGTGGTTGAAATGTCCCCCTTTAGTTCCGATTTCACTTACAGCGATGGTGCTAGTGCAGCAATCACTTGTTCTGAGAACTACATTATTTCCTGGGCTACATCTATAAATGATAACAAAGGGAAAGTTGAATGTGATGCTGGTAGTTTTGTTCCTGATCCCGTAGATGGATTCGCTGGTACAGTTGGATGTGTGGGTAAGTGCATTTGATGAAGACAATCCAAGGGGGCCTTGAATAGACTGTTGTTTTCCAAATAAGATGAAGAATGTGTTGATGGTTCTGTTTTTGGTTTCAACTAGGATCCTATTTAATACCCCCGACTTTCACGAAGTCCGTCGATTCGTATTTTATACGATATCTTTTATCTTAATGCGTTTTCGTTTGTCGAAGCCTGAATTTTTTGAGAAATATATTATATTACATTTTAGTTACCTTGTTCAATATTAAATTGAGTTGTTTTATATAATCTGTTACAAATTGTGTCCTTCAGCCTGTATTGACAGTGTAGCGGAATGTGTAGATGGAACATGCACAGATGGAGTGTGTGTATGTGAAGCCAACCATGAGACGCCTAACGATAATCCAAGACTGTGTACTATTATTCAGTGCGATTTCAAGTCTCTCTCCAATCAAGAAGCTAGTGCGGAAGGACCGTATGATGTAGACGCTGTGGTCACTGTCACATGTACAGATGGATATCATGTCTCAGGAGGACCTAAAGATGTGGATGTACAAACATTGACCTGTGCAAACACAGGATATTTTGACGAACCCCTTATGCCGTGTGTCGGTGAGTGAAAAAATACTAAAAGTAAAATATGTATACAACAATAAATATATGCTTTTGATTTAGTGATTGACACTTTAATGCTACCAATTTATTCGAATAGCTTAAAATCTATCAGTCGTTTAATAGTTATGTTATCTTCATTCAGTGTGTGCTGACGATAGTGATTGTACTGAGGGAACATGCAATAATAACAAAATATGTGAATGTGATGCAACTAGAGGTTTCAAGCTGGTAAGTGCATTTTCAAGGATACCTGGAACTCTGTAAAGTGAAAAGTCGTCAAAAATGTCATTCTTATTTTCTTTGTGTATGGGTCATTTTGTAAGCAGACCACACTGTGGAGATGTGGCTGTTGTTAAACATTTTAGTTTACAAAATTCACACAACCCTCAATTTACAATATAATTTTAGAAAGAAGATGATTTGAACGTCTGTGAGGAGGTTACTTGTCCTGATAATTACTGTGCCAATTGGGGCGAGTGTTCTGTTAAAGATCTTGAATTGGAGTGTGACTGTCCATTGGGAACAGAAGGAGACATATGTGATGAATTCACGTCGTAAGTTAAGACTAATAGTTGGTGGTGATTTTTAAAATGATACTCATGTTACTGGATAATGTTGAATGTTGGAAATAACAAGACTTTGTACAATTTTATTTCATCTAACTTCCAATCACTGTTCGTAAAGTTATCAATATTTATTGTCTTATATTTAAGTTTTGTAAACAGGCAACAGCAACTTGTGATTTTTATTAAATTTCAGAGACCCCTGCGTCCCAGATCCCTGTAAAAACGGTGCAACATGTAGCCGTGTTATGACTAACCCTACGGACTTCACTAAACATGCGTGTGCCTGTACTGATGCTTTTAATGGGGACAGCTGCGAATTTGCTAACAATTTCCATGTTGGGTTGGTAACCTTTCAGTTAGTTTTCTTTAAACTCAGTTGTTTTTGTGAGATTCACTTATGAATATCACACTGCTTCAAAAGTGACTTGAAATATAACTGTTTTTAAGCACAGTGACTCCAAAGTTTCCAAACCTTATATTTTCAGAGTTGGAGAGAAAGGTATCGAAATATCAGATACGAGTGTGAATTCAGTCGAATTTGGCGTTGTTACTGCTAGTGGAGTAGGGGCGATGTATATTGCTTTATTAAAGGTTCGCTAATACAAATTATAATTCATTCAGTTGATATTATGATCTTATAGAGATCGATCATTTTTAACAGGATCCCTATTATTTGACAGGGTCCCTGATTTCAAGGTCGGTTATCCACTGAAACTCATTTTTGTTTATCCTATAAGAACGTACTGTGTACATCTATTTTATCATGCTGATGATATCGTTACCATACTGGCACGAAAACTTGGTACTGATTGTAAGGCTGTCTAATGGAGCTGCACATGATGACACTTTATTACAGGTGGTAGAAATGGATGGAAAAGAACATAAAGTCCTTCTGCTCAAGTCTGATGAAAGCACTATTACGCTTAATGTAATTGGTGAAGAATCTGTAAAAATAGAGGGATTAACTTTAGACGGTAGCGTTGTAAGAGCCAAGATTCATGTTAATAGTGTTAGTAAACTGCAGTTAGACGTAGCTGATAAGAGTGTTTCCACTGAACTTACTGTGAGTTTCATAAAATCATTGGCGATGGGTGGGACTGGATGTGCTTGGAATGATGCCAGCTGCTCATTTGGAATATCTAGAATTTTCTACCACTCATTTGTAGGATACTTCGGAGTTATATCGATTGACGGAGATAAGAAGACTTTCGAAGATATCTCAAGTATTAGTGCCAGTAAGTTACGCTATACTATTGTTAGATTTATCCCATCATTGATATATTTATCCCTTAAACTGGTACTCTTTTTAGAATAAAATACTACGAGACCACTGACCAAAACTTTACATATTTCAGACGAAGCAGTAGCATCAGCGTTGGATTGTGCTACTTTCACTTGTGAAAATAGCGGAAAATGTGACTCTGCCTCTGGTCAAATAACCTGTTCATGTCCCGCGGGTATGGCTTAGTTTCGTTCATTAAGTATTGACTCATCTTGATCAGTCAGGAGTGAATTTCTATAATTTTTGTCGAAATAAGTAATTAGCGGAACTGCTTTCTAAGTGTTACATTCCGAATGTAGACAGTTGTTGGGAAATGAGAATTCCAAAACATTAAAGATGTGTTAAATTGTGCTGAAAAACCACCCTAATCACTAATCATAACGAGTACCGATTATCTCAGGATTCACAGGGTTTGACTGCGGCACCTATAATGGTGGTGTTTCGTTTAACGGATACACCAGTGACTTTAGTTTTGGTGCCACCACTGTGCCGATAGTCGAAGGAGATCAAACTGTGTCAATCGGTAAGATAGCTGAAATTAATAAACTTACCCAGAAGCATATTTCTTTAATTGGATACTGGTCGTTATTCATTCATATTTCAACGCTAGATTTAATCATTTGATGCAAATAATAGATGAATCTGTTACTAACTTTAGTAAAGATGTTTGCTATATTTCACGACAAAGTTCGCTGAAATTCTTCTCTAGAGGAATTGATTGATTAATTAATGAACTTTTCTGTAACAGTCAGGTTATGTTCAATGTTCATTGTTCGTACTAAGATTTGCTAAAATTTGTTAACTTTCAGATTTTGATAAATCTGCCGAAGAGATTGGCGAGATGGCTAACATAAAAGTTGGTGACTGTAACATAGTTCTCAAAGCAGCTGGAGGTAAAATTTTTACTTCTTATTCTTCATCACTGACATATTCAGTTCAGTTTCAGTACATTATACATTTAATTCAGCTATCAGTGACACATTAAACTCAGCTATAAGTAACATTTTTAGTTCAGTAGCACATTTAACCAAACGACCCGGGTTTTTCTGATCGGTTTCCTATGTTGTATTTCCGTTGCATACTTACTCCAAACAGTCGTACAATCAATCCACTTAAAGACTTAAATTGTGCAGGAACTTCTTACAAAGTGGGGGATACTGAGGTAATAATTGAGGGGAGCACAATAACCATGACTCTTGATGGTACCGATGTGAAGATTGGTGCAGATGTTGTTATGTCTTGCGCTCTGACAAAAACAGACTTGTCTGCTGAAGTTACGGTATGTGAAAATATGTTATTCCTAATTGTGCGTGCAGGTTTTCTTTACACGCGATATGTATTTTGTAATCTCCCTTTAGACTTTGTTTTTTATTGGAAATTCAGCCGGTATGTAATTGTACAATGTATCGTTCCATTGACCAGATATTAGAAACTTTATAATGTTACTGATGAATACCGAGATAGAGCCACAAGAATAAAGTTCTGAAGCTAGACTATGATTTAAATTTCTTCAGGAATCACTGGGAGGTATTGACCCAGTGGATGGTTCAGTAACACTCCAAGACTCAAGATACCAGGGCTGCATCAGAAAGATAACGGTTAACGGTATGGATATCATGCAAAAAACTGCCGACAATGTGAACAATAACGCTGACACAGTGCAGTGTATTAGTAGCTTGAACCCTGAAGATCCCTGTGAGGGAGATGGTAATCCGTGTCTGAATAATGGAGAGTGTAGTATTGAGCCGGCTGACTACTCAGGTAAAAGAACAAATTAATAACAGAATTAAGTACTTTATTAAGTTTTAATTTGGTATTAATTCAACAATGCTTACGTATTTTAACTGAGATGTTTGTGTTTAACTTTCTTTAACGCCTCTGGTGTTAGTGTTTAGATTTTACTTATGGCCGGAACTTTTATCAGATTTTATTATGTATCATTTTACTACTCACCCTGATCTAAATGCTAACACCTCTCGTTGATTTCAGCTAAGTGTGCTTGTACCGTGCCATACACCGTCGGCGAAACTTGTACCCGACAAGCGTTTTGCACAAAAGGCCACACGTGCACCGAAAACGGTACGTGCACAGAATTGGATTCAATAACAGACTGCGAAGCAGCAAAAGAGACGAAAGAGGAGCTGACTTGTGGAGAAGGAGACAGATGGTACTACTATTGTAGCTGTAATGAAGGTTGGCAGGGCGACAATTGTGACGTGGAAATAGGTATGAATTCTAGATTTTTGTTTACGTCGATAATACAGACATTTATTTTCAATTTCAGCACTTAATAGTGCTATTACCTTACTCGGGATTATTACGACGGGTTTATTAACGACCGGTTAAAATATGGTTCGGGAAAAATATGGCGAAATTGCTCAAAACCCACCACATTTTCCCGGTCGCCATTTTACCGGTGTCCAACCTTTCAATTTTAGATTCAAAAATTTGTCTCAGATGTAAATTTCCTTATTAGAGATAAGCAAGTTTAGAAATTTTTGCATTGCTAAAACTTGTGAAACAAGTCGAATTATCAATAATTGTTGAAAGTAGACAGAAATAATGACTCGTGGTTAATCAAACTAGACGGAAAATAATTGTCTTCGAAAGAATGCATCGTTCACATTGTTTAGAATTATGAATAAATGACTGATGAAACTGATTCATGTTACTGACAGTTTTAATTAATCCAAGTTTTAATTTAACTGTTACTTTTACTTTGAGTCCTATTTCATTATGTAGAGATAGTCAATACCTAAGAAATTAAAAATTGGCCTATTTAAATCAACTTTGACAATAAGGATATATGACAAGAATTGGGCAAAAAGGTGAATTTTTTGTAATTTTAGCCAAATGAAGTCGAAAAACCTACAACAAGTGTCCCAATAGTCTTTTTTAGTGAATATAAGACAACGATTAAAATATGAGCACCCATACCCCTTGGGAACCCTAAAAGCTGAGTCGGCGGGTTTATTAACGACCGGTGAAAATGTGGTTCGGGAAAAATATGGCGAAATTACCCTAAACCCGCCACTTTATCCCGGTCATAATAATCCCGAGTAAGGTAAATATTAATTTCAGCGGTAAATGCTGTGAACAAAGAACAGCTAACAGGCACGATTGCAAGAATATCGTGTACTGTTACGGGTTTGACAGAGGAGCTTGGTGTCACAAAATGGACCACTTCTGAGGATGTTGATGTGACGAGTCTAGAAGGCTACACCGTTGTTCCGGGATCGTTGGAAGTAGATACTCAAACTACCACTCTGACTATTCCTGCTGATAAGAACAACAATGATGCAACTTACTGGTGTGTTATCACTTCCACTGAACATGGTTTAGCAGATCAGAAAACTGAAGTCAGTTCCAAAGTTTTTAGTAAGTATTGTAACTTAAATTTGTATGTAATGTATATCCTGAAGGTAACGTTTTATTAATATTTAAACTTGTAAAAGTGTAGTCCTTGAGTGGTGTAAATGTGTGTTTGTACAAATAATTACATATGTATAATAAAGATAATATGTTATTAATTATATATAATTACGTCTAGTACAGGGAGTACTTAGTGACCGGGACAATGTAGCATAAGGAGTGATTTAACACGCTCACACAGGCTGACTTTCAGCTCCACCGCCACCGGCCACCTGCTTAGATAGGTGATGGTAGAAGTTATTTTCAGCTGCAGAAATAGCGGTGTCCCGCCTACTTAATGCTCGAACTAGCTCTTTCCTAGTTTCCACCGGAAGCGCCATATAGAGAATTTCCTTGGATAGCTGTCACGTGACAGTCACGAGATATCGATTGAGCGCGTTTACTGGTTGGATATGTAGCGCGTGATATTGATCTATTATGCAGACCCAATTACGCACCATATAAGGCGTAATTACTGGCTGCATCTAGCACGTGATATTTGTAAAGCCAATTACACATCCATATAAGGCGTAATTAAGAGCTCGGAGTTGCAGTGGAGTTGCAGGGAGTTGTAATAGCGTGAAATTGGGTGGTAATTCGTTGATAAGGGGTACATACAAGTAAATGTTTCGTGAACTATGTTGGTATAAAGCCAACTTTGGTTTTAGAACAGTGTGTGAGGGCGCGTACAGATGGAAGTGCACTGATTTGTTGTTCAGATGGTTAGAATAAAGATTTGTCCGAACCGGCTGAAATCGTTGTTACGTTGAAAACTGTTTCGATTACCTTGTTACCTAGCTAGTAACTTGGTATGAAGAGAGAGTGCAAACCAGACGAAAGTAAGACGAAGTCTCGGGGATCGGGGATGCAGCCTACAATGGGCATGAATATATAGAGGGCCCTAGGTTGCTCCCCAGATCGGCAGTCCAATAACACATTTTCTGAAAATTTCTAATTTCTAAACTTTTCATCAGTCCTACGCCACTGGGGAATGATAGAAAGATGCGATCGTGCTGACTGAATCACTCTACGGAACATTTAAAGCAAAATTCTTTAAATGCTCATTTTTGTATAATTTCCGACTTGATATCTCAAAATAATGGGTTTCATTCGCTATCCTTCCGTAACAATTAACGACACTTTTCGACAACATGTCATGTCGCTTTTGATGCATAAAGCGAAGCATACAACCTTACCAAAACCGATCTTAGTTGACTTAAAATAGAAATTAGACGCAAGAGTTGAATTTTTTACAAAACATATTATCAGTATAATTTCATCACAAACCAGGAATTAAAGTTTTGTTGATAACTGATCAAATCATAATACACGTAATCTATATAGTACCCATTAAAAATCTTTTAACTGTTTAATTATAATGCCTTGCACTCTTAGTAAATGTGTGGCTGTACAAATAATTATATACGTATAATAAAGATAATATCCTCTAACATGAACCAAACAATTCAGCTGTCACCTCAACACCCAAGTCTATAACGACCGCTGTAGATCAGACGTTGACTTGCAATATCGGAGGTCTAGACAATAGTGGATCCCCTGCTACTGTAACTTGGAAGGATAGTGCTGGACAAGAAGTTATAAGAACGGATACCACCAACTATGGTTGGAACCAAGGGACGGTAGATAGCAGCGGAAATCAAGCAGCAGAACTGACTATCAAAACTGCAAAGCTGGATGGTTTTAGTAGTCCATCATCATTCACCTACAAGTGCTCAGTCAAATCTTCCCAATACACAGATTCTCCTGCATCTGACTACGTAGATGTTGTAGCTAATATTCTAAAATTGGGTGAGTTTAGAATATGTCATACTGTTAATCAAGGAAGTTCAAAGATTGTCGGACACTCAGTGGTAAGTTATTCTAACTAAATATTAATTTCAGAGGTAAATGCTGTGAACAAAGAACAGCTAACAGGCACGATTGCAAGGATATCGTGTACTGTTACAGGTTTGACAGAGGAGCTTGGTGTCACAAAATGGACCACTTCTGAGGATGTTGATGTGACGAGTCTAGAAGGCTACACCGTTGTTCCGGGATCGTTGGAAGTAGATACTCAAACTACTACTCTGACTATTCCTGCTGATAAGAACAACAATGATGCAACTTACTGGTGTGTTATCACTTCCACTGAACATGGTTTAACAGATCAGAAAACTGAAGTCAGTTCCAAAGTCTTTAGTAAGTATTGTAACTTAAAGTTGTATGTAATGTATATCCTGAAGGTAACGTTTTATTAATATTTAAACTTGTAAAAGTGTAGTCCTTGAGTGGTGTAAATGTGTGTTTGTACAAATAATTACATACGTATAATAAAGATAATATCCTCTAACATGAACCAAACAATTCAGCTGTCACCTCAACACCCAAGTCTATAACGACCGCTGTAGATCAGACGTTGACTTGCAATATCGGAGGTCTAGACAATAGTGGATCCCCTGCTACTGTAACTTGGAAGGATAGTGCTGGACAAGAAGTTATAAGAACGGATACCACCAACTATGGTTGGAACCAAGGGACGGTAGATAGCAGCGGAAATCAGGCAGCAGAACTGACTATCAAAACTGCAAAGCTGGATGGTTTTAGTAGTCCATCATCATTCACCTACAAGTGCTCAGTCAAATCTTCCCAATACACAGATTCTCCTGCATCTGACTACGTAGATGTTGTAGCTAATATTCTAAAATTGGGTGAGTTTAGAATATGTCATACTGTTAATCAAGGAAGTTCAAAGATTGTCGGACACTCAGTGGTAAGTTATTCTAACTAAATATTAATTTCAGAGGTAAATGCTGTGAACAAAGAACAGCTAACAGGCACGATTGCAAGGATATCGTGTACTGTTACAGGTTTGACAGAGGAGCTTGGTGTCACAAAATGGACCACTTCTGAGGATGTTGATGTGACGAGTCTAGAAGGCTACACCGTTGTTCCGGGATCGTTGGAAGTAGATACTCAAACTACTACTCTGACTATTCCTGCTGATAAGAACAACAATGATGCAACTTACTGGTGTGTTATCACTTCCACTGAACATGGTTTAACAGATCAGAAAACTGAAGTCAGTTCCAAAGTCTTTAGTAAGTATTGTAACTTAAAGTTGTATGTAATGTATATCCTGAAGGTAACGTTTCATTAATATTTTAACTTGTAAAAGTGTAGTGTTTAACTGGTGTAAATGTGTGTTTGTACGAATAATTATATACGTATAATAAAGATAATATCCTCTAACATGAACCAAACAATTCAGCTGTCACCTCAACACCCAAGTCTATAACGACCGCTGTAGATCAGACGTTGACTTGCAATATCGGAGGTCTAGACAATAGTGGATCCCCTGCTACTGTAACTTGGAAGGATAGTGCTGGACAAGACGTTATAAGAACGGAAACCACCAACTATGGTTGGAACCAAGGGACGGTAGATAGCAGCGGAAATCAAGCAGCAGAACTGACTATCAAAACTGCAAAGCTGGATGGTTTTAGTAGTCCATCATCAGTCACCTACAAGCAGGGACAAAAGGATTTCGCGGCATGTACGAAATCGCGAAATTTCCCATTCTCCGCGACAAATTTTATGTATAGTTTAATGTATAGCCTGTTAAATTTCGCGGTATCGCGAAATTTGGCCAAAATAATCGCGAAATCCTTTTGTCCCTGCCTACAAGTGCTCAGCCAAATCTTCCCAATACACAGATTCTCCTGCATCTGACTACGCAGATGTTGTAGCTAACATTCTAAAATTGGGTGAGTATAGAATATGTCGTACTGTTAATCAAGGAAGTTCAAAGATTGTCGGACACTCAGTGGTAAGTTATTCTAACTAAATATTAATTTCAGAGGTAAATGCTGTGAACAAAGAACAGCTAACAGGCACGATTGCAAGGATATCGTGTACTGTTACAGGTTTGACAGAGGAGCTTGGTGTCACAAAATGGACCACTTCTGAGGATGTTGATGTGACGAGTCTAGAAGGCTACACCGTTGTTCCGGGATGGTTGGAAGTAGATACTCAAACTACTACTCTGACTATTCCTGCTGATAAGAACAACAATGATGCAACTTACTGGTGTGTTATCACTTCCACTGAACATGGTTTAACAGATCAGAAAACTGAAGTCAGTTCCAAAGTCTTTAGTAAGTATTGTAACTTAAAGTTGTATGTAATGTATATCCTGAAGGTAACGTTTTATTAATATTTAAACTTGTAAAAGTGTAGTCCTTGAGTGGTGTAAATGTGTGTTTGTACAAATAATTACATACGTATAATAAAGATAATATCCTCTAACATGAACCAAACAATTCAGCTGTCACCTCAACACCCAAGTCTATAACGACCGCTGTAGATCAGACGTTGACTTGCAATATCGGAGGTCTAGACAATAGTGGATCCCCTGCTACTGTAACTTGGAAGGATAGTGCTGGACAAGAAGTTGTAAGACCGGATACCACCAACTATGGTTGGAACCAAGGGACGGTAGATAGCAGCGGAAATCAGGCAGCAGAACTGACTATCAAAACTGCAAAGCTGGATGGTTTTAGTAGTCCATCATCATTCACCTACAAGTGCTCAGTCAAATCTTCCCAATACACAGATTCTCCTGCATCTGACTACGTAGATGTTGTAGCTAATATTCTAAAATTGGGTGAGTTTAGAATATGTCATACTGTTAATCAAGGAAGTTCAAAGATTGTCGGACACTCAGTGGTAAGTTATTCTAACTAAATATTAATTTCAGAGGTAAATGCTGTGAACAAAGAACAGCTAACAGGCACGATTGCAAGGATATCGTGTACTGTTACAGGTTTGACAGAGGAGCTTGGTGTCACAAAATGGACCACTTCTGAGGATGTTGATGTGACGAGTCTAGAAGGCTACACCGTTGTTCCGGGATCGTTGGAAGTAGA